AGCCACTAAACTGCCAAAACGTAAAATACTTACGTTTTCTTGTGAGATCAGGCTGGAAAGGATGACACCATGGCAGAAGAATTTCTCTTAGACGGGTAATATTATGTTTTAAAACTGTTTTAGCTTCACGCAAAGCTGATGTAACGTGATGTTGTTGTTACAAATAGATTATATCTGCACAGAAGTGTTGTTCAGCCACTAAAATCTTCCGATAAAAGACTGATGTGACTATATTCAGTTTCATAAGGTCCTTTTAAAGCATGAATAATGTAGATTTTATTTAGGTGAACAACAAAACACAAGTAAATAGTGCTATTCTGCCTTACTAGCTTTACTGAGGTGAAGATGGTTTTATATTCACATCACACTGGTTCATTTTTGAACAATGATGACCTGTGACACTTTCCTTATGCTGTTTACCATTCTACTCTGTCAAACTGACATTTAATATTCATAGTAATGCGTGTAATTCCTGCACGCCACCGAACAAGCACTAGTCGCTTTTAACACAAGAGAGGGTTCTGCTATCATCTTTAAGGTGCACATGCTCGTGTTTCAGGAGGCGTGGCTCTGGACGGCAGGGGAGGGACTGTGATTCAGAGATTTTTGCTAAGCTGTTAGCATTGTGGAAGATACTGCACCTATAACTTGAAAATGAGGTCCGATATCCCTTTTTATTTTCACTATAAATTCAAAACGGACCTTCGGGTCACTCGGAAAGCTGTTAAATGAAAAATCTTTGTCAACTGCTCCTCGCTGATAAGATATACAGCCAGGTACACAACAATACGCCATCACAGATGTTGTTCCTGTGTGACTCCAGGGTTTCTTCCCACCGCAGCCTCACTTTCGATTTTAAAATGGCGGCCACGTGAAATCAGTTTATTGTGTTCACAGTAAACAAACTCTGCGCTGACTGACTAAACTTACTCCCTGCAGCAGTTTTGGAACTGACACACCTTGAGTAAACAGGTTTTGGTCAGAATAATGTGAAGGTAAATTAAACCTGCTTTGTGGAACACCCCAGATTTAGGCCAACAAAACACAAGTGCTGACATTTTTTTCTTATGACTTTCCTTCTAACTACATCTGAGTCATCCATCATTACACAGCCATTACCCTTAAACTGCATTACCCACATTTCCAAATTCTCCAATATGTTCAAGTGTTTCTTTGCACTAAATGGGTTTCTTTATGCTATACAGATTGCATAACAAACATCGCTACTCCAGAGTCATGCAATATGAGTAGACTTCCTTTTTCCCGCTCAGAAAGAGTGAGATCATTCCGTTCACAACAGTCTCAGGACTTTATCTGATGGATCGAACAATGAAAAACAGGTTGAAAGTGGCCCGCGTTATAACACGTAGATGCAGGCAATTTCAAACATCTCTATTTCTGGCACTGCTAATAACCTGCTGGCTTTTTTTTGCAAAAGAATCAAATTGAAAAAGGTTTTACAATACAGGAATGTAGATGAAATTCTGTGTTGGCAGCATTAGTCTAATGTGCCTGTCTGTGTCCCGGCTATAAGGAGGTGCAATTATGATCTTATCTACAGTAACAGCTTCCTACTGTTAGAAAAACATCTTGCGGCCGGGCTGATTCGTTTTCATAAGGAAAGCATGTGGCCCAGTGTTGGCTCTTTTTTTAGCTTTGTTGGTGGTGATTTGTCCAGGAAAGTGCTGGGGAATGATTGTGGAACAACTGAATTGCGCATTGTGGACTTTGCAAACATGCAGCATATCTGTTCAGGGGCCCTGTAATTGCTGTCAGGCACCGCTGTTGCATATTACTTTCCAGATGTTTGAGAAGATGGAACTGATGTTTACATGAAACATATATACCATAAGGAACTGTGTGTAAAAATGCTCATGCATTAATTTTTTTTATTGCATACTGTATGTGTGCACAGTGTTATTGTCACTGACTGTTGGACTATTTTTTATGTGATACTATTTCTGCCGAATGTCTTATCTCACTGTTGTCATTTTTATTGTGTGTTTTAATTATTGAAAGGAAAGAACGTAGCACTATTGACATTTTCAAGTCACTCTCTGCAGTGTGAACAGCATCTGGATGTTCATTACCAGGTATTTCCAAGCCCAGCTCACAATGTGGAATTTTTAATAATCTTTTATGATTGTAGCTGGTCAGACTGTATATGAACACGATAGCCATGTCGCATTGTAAGATCTGAATTATTATAATCAAGACATGACAAGCACTGATACATACAAGACTCATCTGGAGCAAATATAAACAATCTATAGTTTTCATTTTATTTATAACATGCAAAATAATAAAACTAGAATATCATTTACACATTTCCCATTGATTGCATCATCAGGTTCAGCGCTCCTATTGATTATTGGTTCGATGCTTGATATAAAAGTTAATATCTTCCGCAATCTTTTGAAAATAAAACAGGAGTATCCGTGGATGCAAGAGGAAAATGTCTGAAAGGGATGACCAAGTGCTAACCCGAAATGTATCCAAAAAAAAATAAAAAAACATAAAACCACAGCTGCTCAACTCACTTTAGAAGTAAATGTGCACCTCAACTCTCCACCAAAACTGTTCATCGGGAGCTCCACACCGCCAATATACATCAAAGCCTTTACTCATGCAAAGCAATCATCACAATAGCAAACAATAACAATAGCAAATGTCATTTTCAATAGTGCCAGCAGCAAAAATATTGGGCTGTGGACAATGTGAAACATGTATTGTACTCTGATGAGTCCACCTTCACTGTCTTTCCCAAATCCGGGAGAGTTACGGTGTGGAGAAGCCCCAAAGAAGTATAACACCCAGACTGTTGCCTGAGTAAAGCATGGGGGTGAATAAGTGATGTTTTGGGCTGCAATATCATGGCATTCTCTAGGCCCAAAACTTTCACTAGATGGGAGTGTCACTTCCAAGGACTACCAAAACATTCTGGAGAACTATGTGCATCCAATGGTTCAAACATTGTATCCTGAAGGCAGTGCCATGTATCAGGATGACAATGCACCAATATACACAGCAAGACTGGTGACAGATTAGTTTAATGAACATGAAAGTGAAGTTAAACATTTCCCATGGCCAGCACAGACACCAGATCTAAAACTTATTGAGCGACTTTGGGGTGTTTTGGAGGAGCGAGTCAGGAAACGATTTCCTCCGCCAGCATCACATAGTGACCTGCCCACTATTCTGCAAGAAGAATGGCTTAAAATCCCTCTGGCCACTGTGCAGAACTTGTATCTGTCATTCCCAACTGATGCTGTATTTCTCACAAAAGGAGGTCCTACTCCATAGTATTAAATTATTGTAGTAAAAATAAAGTTTATTTATAAAGTTAATTTAACTTCAGTTTGGCACTGACCAAAGGGCTAAAAAAAACATATCCTAAAACAAAGTAAAAACACAACAAAGGTAATAATAAATTATTGAATGAAGAACAACAATGCACAATAAAGATTAAAGGCTTAAAAAGTCAATAGAATAAATATGTGTCTTAAGTCTGGACTTAAAAATAGAGAGAGAAGAAGCACTCCTGATGTCCAGTGGCAGCTGGTTCTACAAACATGGAGCAGCGACTACAAAGACTCTATCCCCTTTCAATTTAAATTGTGATCAAAGAATTTGTAGTAAAACTTTATTGGTCGACCTAAGGAACAGAGGAGTTGAATGTAAATTAACAAGCTCTAAAATATAAGAAGGTGCTTGCCTATTCAGTGCTTTAAAAACAATTAGTAAAATCCTGAACTGAATTCTAAAAATAACTGGAAGCCAATGAAGGAAAGCTTAAACTGGTGAAATATGAGCAGATTTTTTTGGTGGCTGCTGTGCCCCGCGTTGAACCAACTGAAAACCTTAAATGACTTTTCCAGATCTTGAAAGGAAAGTATGGATTTAAGTCAGGAGATGATCCTCAGTTGATGGTAACTATTCTAAACTTTTGAGCTCAATTGTTTTTCCAGACAAAGCTCAGAATCAAAAATAACTCCTAGATTTTTTTTTATTTAATTGTGGTCTTACACCAGGCCTTTCAGTTTCATTGTCCAACAATATTGTCTAACAATATGTTGTGGGATGCTGTTCATTTAATGACCTCTTAATTGAGCCGAGGTCAAACTAATAAACAAAAATAAAGAAAGAATGCAATTTGTATAAGTTTGCTCATGTGCAAACTGATTTTATGATTAATTAATTTTTTGACTAAATGCTCAAGAGATCAGTCATACAGAGACAAGAGAATCAAATGATTCAGCAGCAACACACTTGTTGCTCTAAAACCTAAAAGGATTATTGTAGTTTTGTAGCTCGTGGGTGAATAGATGTTATATTCCGGTCAGCAGAATATTCTTAGACACCATGATGAGACAGATGAGACGATCATGGATTTAAAAATGGGTTAGAGTTAGGAAATATTTAAGGCAGTAACACTTAAGGAAGCATGTAAATGCTTTTATTTAAACATTTCAAATGTCACAAAAATGTTTCCAGGTCTAATTTGAATCTTTTTATTTGTTGGAGTGTGTAAGTTACATATTTTATTTAACGTCTGCTATATTTTTGACAATTTTCCTACATTTAATTCATCAACGGCAGCTTAAATTGTGCATAATCTTTACGCAGCAAGAAAAGCATTCTATTTTACACTCTCTAACTTTTGGAGATTGTTTCCCAGTTTAAACTGGAAAAGCTTGTGCGCTCAGACTTCAGAACTCCTCTGTGCATGGGGTGGTTTGCTTTCATTCTTGAAATGTCCGTGCGTAAAAGCGCAGCACAATGCCCGCACTTTAGAAGAGCAGATGGTTCTTGCGCTTCTCTTTGAATGTATCAGAGAGTGAACGCCTTACAATTTATAAATGCAGCGCAATTGGCTGTGCAGCTCGTGACGTCACTGTTGTACTCTTCGCTCGGCTCGTTCTTTCGGCGAGCGCGTGCGGGCGCGGAGCTGGAGAGCAGAGCGCGGATGGAAGCGCTCCACACAGGACCTGAAGTTCTGAATGAACGCGCTTCTTTTCTCCAAATCATGGGAGACGGGCTACCGTCCGTAAACTACAGCAATGACTCTAAACGCGCCACGGTGGATCTTAACGTTTCAGAACAGTGGCTCGTGGGCATGGGAATCCTCATGGGTCTGATAGTGTTTGTCATTGTAGTGGGAAATATACTGGTTATAGTCGCCATAGCGCGGAATCAGAGGCTCCAGACGCTCACCAATGTTTTCATCGTATCTCTGGCGTGCGCAGACCTCATCATGGGGTTACTGGTGGTGCCATTTGGCGCAGCCCTTGAGGTCAGAGGAGCCTGGATGTATGGATCGTTCTTCTGTGAATTCTGGATATCTCTTGATGTACTTTGCGTCACGGCGAGCATCGAGACCCTGTGCGTAATTGCAATAGACAGGTATATCGCCATCATCTCTCCATTTCGCTATCAAAGCCTTTTAACAAAAGCACGAGCCAAGGTGGTGGTGTGTGCGGTGTGGGCTATTTCAGCCCTGGTGTCGTTTCCCCCCATCCTAATGCACTGGTCCCAGGACAGCGAGGAGACATCGTGCTATGAAAATCCCGAGTGCTGTGACTTTGTCACCAACCGCGCATATGCCATCTCCTCGTCCATTATATCGTTTTACATCCCTTTAATAGTCATGATATTTGTCTATGCTAGAGTGTACAGAGAAGCCAAACAGCAGCTGAACAAGATCAACAAATGTGAGGGAAGGTTCTACAACAATCACGGTACAAACTGCAAACCAACCCGAAAACGGACCACCAAGATCCTGGCTTTAAAAGAGCAGAAGGCTCTGAAAACGCTGGGAATAATCATGGGAACGTTCACTCTGTGTTGGCTGCCGTTCTTCATCGTGAACGTGGTGCGGGTGTTTTGCGCACAAGTGGTGGATAAGGAGCTCTTCGTCTTTTTGAACTGGCTGGGGTACGTCAACTCCGCATTTAATCCCATCATATACTGTCGGAGTCCCGACTTCAGAAAAGCCTTCAAAAGACTGTTGTGCTGCCCGAGACAGGCGGACCGCAGGCTGCACGTGAGTTCGTGCGATCTGTCCCGCTGCACCGGAGGCTTTGGGAACTCGATGGAGCAGAGTATGCTCGGGACGTGGTCGGACTGTAACGGCGCAGACAGCAGCGACTGCAGCCTGGAGAGAAACGGCAGGATGTCCCATTCAGAGTCTCAGCTGTAAAAGTGCAGCCGACATTATTTCATCAATATTACACGAGTGAAAATGCCATTTGTTGAGGATATCAGGTAGGCTGGCTATAATTAGGAGCCAAGAGCTTGTTTTGGGGTAACGAATGAAGTTAACCGACAAAAAAACTGACTAGTTATTGTATTTCATCTTCTTCGTTACTACTATTTCCAAACAACGCACAAAGTAAATAATTAACTATTAGGTGGCAACGCGTTCTGTATACACTCCGCTCCAGCTCCACTTCGGGTTTTACTTTACGCTCGGAGCGATCGTGGATTAACGTTAAGTGAAAATGCGAATTCGCTTTTGTTCATTGCTCCTCCATGAACGTGGGAAGCTTTAGTGATGATAACAACAGTCAGAGTGCATTTATTGCTATAATATATTTTCAATTTTCCAACCTTTTTAGAAGGAGGTAACAGAATTATTTTTCAGATTAATTTAATCCATATGGATTTTATAAATCATTTTATATCACGAACCAAACTACTTAGCTACAAAGCCAGTCACAACATCATAAAAGTTAAATTAAAAATATATCTATTATCTGTGTGACTGAAAAATCATCACAGTCTGTGGGAAAAAGTTCATTATGTAATTTGTAACGCTCAATTAGAATGGGCGGAGCTAAATAAGTTCTACCATCTGACACCATTATGGGTAAGCTGTGCACAATGAATAAACTAAACTAATGCAAACAAATAAGATTGGTTTGCCAAAAGCAGACAATCAATTAGCAACTTAAAAGATCTTAATAATTCACAGTGGGCCTGTTTTTAAATAATGTTTGTCAATCATTGATATAAGCCAGTTCCTTTATAGATTAAAATACATTTTAGCTTCGAGAACTATCTCCCCTACCCTATCGCCATTACTGTTAGTCTGCTCACCAATCAAATTTGAGGACAATCTGATGATTTATCTATTTAATCCCAATTTATTTCCCAATAAATCAGGACATTTCGAGAGCTCACAGAAGCAAACTGCATGTGTTTAATTCTACCAAAAATTTAAACTGAAATTTTAATAATTTTACTCACACTATATGCACAGAAAAAGGTTTTGATCATCTGAGTTATTGCGTATTTTTTATTTAATCCAGCAATACCCTAAATCTACTCTTATTAATGGATGAGTGGATAAAATCAGTGGCTCAGTCAGTGAAGCAAAACTCTCACTGGTCACAACTGTTTACATGTATTGTGATAATTCAGTGGGCTAAAAAGTCATTTTAAAAACACATTAATAATAAACACAAATGTTGAAATAATTTAAAATCACTTTAAATGAAATGATCATAGTAAACCAAGATGGTTTGCATTTTAAGAACGTTTTGAATATGTAAACCGTGAAATATATAGGTTCTTCAGACTCCAAAGTAAAAGCTGTTCATGTTTTTGCTAGATTAAATGGGTTAAAACATTGTGTTAATGCTGTTCATAATTTATTTAAAAAAACCTTTTTAATAATAATAATTCAAAATCACTCAGTATTTAGCAGTGAATAAGTGGGAGATAGATTGAAGCAGTGGAGTGTTGTTGAAACAGCGGTGAAACAGTGTTCTTCATTCTTCATAGCAATGTTCTCAGGCTTTGTGCCTTTACATTGTCTATCGGAATGTTTCTCGAATGTGTAATATTAAATCTTCTCTTACCTCATACCTGTATAATGTGCAAATTGTACAAGGAGGAAATTGTTTATATTAAACAAACTGTTCAAATGTACAGTATTTATTATTTGATGCATTGTACAGCATATAAGAAGAAGCGTGGTAAAAATGTGATCAAATGTTAAATATACTCGTCATTTACATGCACCTTATCTGTGTCAAATGTGAGCTGTCCGACGGGGGCAATGAGCTTCTTGCATTTTTCCAAGTTAAATATGTTACTAGATTTACTGATCTGTAAATGAGACGTGTACACACATATTTTTGGGGGCCATGTTTTGTTATGAATAAATTGTCCCCAACTTCACATTTTTACAGAACTAATTTATGTACCAGTGCCTCATGTGAAGTATTGTACAAGGTTCATCATGTTGACGTCAAGTTGGCTAGCGTGCAATAAAACGTGATATTGTGAAAAGGCACACTGCTTTTGAAATTACTTGGTGAGAATCGTTGCCATCTGTAGGGATTTCTGCATGTCGTTTATTTGTTTTGTTTGGTTGTTTGTTTTTGTCAGCAGACCTTTAACTATTCCAGTTGAGATTTACATCTGAATATGTGAATTACTCTCATCTGCAGTGGATTGAAAGTAAAAAAAAAAGAAGTAAAAGTATTTTTTTCGACATGGCTAATGTCTAGCAAAGACCTCCCATTAGAGCTTGCCTTAAATATTTATGTGCTGACCTCATTTGGTTTGATCTGATTGCTTCACTTGCATCACTACTGGGTCTTCCACCAACCCAGTCTACATTGGACTGTAAAAATAACACGACAGCGTCATTTCAGCGGTGCAAAGTGTGTTAAGATATCTTTGGTTCTTTAAATTCACTGCCAATAGCAATGGCAATAGTACTGGCTTTAGGATAGCAATATGGGAATTTTTAGTTCAACTTGCTGTATGCCTTTCATGAATCATTTGCATAATTTAAAAGCAATACAGGTATACAGCTTAAATCATTTTACAGCCCAGTGCAGTTAGCACTGGTGAACTAAATATGATGGAATGTTGTAATTGTTTAATGTGATTTACTGGTTTCCTTCCTTCTAGCTGATAGAAGAAATATTGCTTAAGGTGGCTAATAATAATGTCTTAAATTGTATTTTAAAATAAACACTGCTTTTACTCTAGCCGAAATAAACAACACGTTCTCACTCCCAACTCGTCATATACTGACGCTTGGTCAGGAACCCTCGGCGTCAGTTATTGACGCACAGGGTACCCCTTTAGCGTCATATTTAGACGTGCAGGGATTCCCTATAGAATCTGTGCCTGAGCCTGAGGCGTCATAGGGAGACGCTGGAGGCTCGTATAATTACCAATAGATGTCAACAAACTTTTTAAAACCTGATTTACGCCTATTATCACAGTTTTCTTATTTTAAAAATATGTAATTTTTATTTTGTTTATGAAAAGCGTCTGTAAACGGGGTCGAAACTACTGTATGAATAAACTTCGGCCCACGTGACATCCCTTCACGGTGAGTTTAACGCCGCTCTGCTATTGGTCAAACTGCATCAGCGGTGAGTTCTCAGATGAGTTCAACTGTCAACATTAAATATTACGTTAATGCTGCATAATATATTTTTTATTGGAGATTAGTTGGTGTTTATAAATATGTTATCATTTACTTTATATTTAATGAGTGAAAATATATTCGGTTGTCCAGTTTAGGGTAACTATGCCTAATAAAACTTTGATTCATTCATATTATTTATTATTTTTTTACTTTAAAAAAAATATTAAATTTCAAGTACTAAGTTTAAAAATGTTTTCGGCTGATATTTTTCATTTTAAATTATTTATTAAAGTTGGAGTCATTGTATGTGGCGATCTATTTTTTACAGTCTATGCTCGCTATCCCAAGGTTCATTGCGATCCCAAGGTTCACTGCGGTTTTCCACAAGGTAAGTAAAAAGTAAACAAATAAACACGATTTGTTGATAAAGCATGTACTGTGAACTAGCAACGTTATCTAATTACATCAAGTTCATTTATTAAAAACATATTTTTCTCACATATAACGTTGGTCATGCATTAGAACAATATAAGTTATACATTTTAAGATAAGGAACAGTGTAACCAGATTGTTGTTTTCCACAATAGAATTCGTGCAAAATCTATATATAATATGCAATATGCAACTCTAATAATACAAATGTATTCGTAATTGTTTCAATATTAAAGAACATCAAGTGTTTCCAAAGGTTTATTGTAAAAACAATTATTTTCCATGCCTTTAAAGGAAAAAGGCAGAAATTTTGCCCGTCTGAGCACATTTTATTCATTGTACAACACAAAACTAAACAAAAAAATAGCTTAATCTACCACACACACACACACACACACACATATATATATATATATATATATATATATATATATATATATATATATATATATATATATATATATATATATATATATATACAGGTGTACATTATAAGGTGTTCACTGTTCAGATATGAATATTTTTTCTTTGCTCTTTTCAGGTTCTTTAGATTTCTTTAAAAATCCAATTTTGTTTTCTAATAAGCAAAAAGTAAAATCACTTTACCCATGTTTATATGTTAAATTGCACTTGTCTCTCTCTCTATCTCTGTTAACACATTTATATTTGTTTGATTAATTCTTGTGTCTTTCAGCCTGTTTCTGCCTATCACCATGAGTGATTCCTCAATACTCAGATTTATCATCAAGATCTCAATTATAAGCTCAAGTTTTGATGACAACTTGGTGATCTGCAGAAAGCCCCACCATGTAAGGAAGGCCAAGACCACTCTGGAATCAGTCAAGGGTTAGTGAAGTTTTTCATTCCATGTATATTAAATATCTACATTGTTTAGGCATATGTGATTGTATGAGATAAAATGCATTTATTCTTTCACTACTATTGTAATAACAGAAAGAAACGCATTAGTTTTACTATTACTATTGTTTATGACAAACATTAAAAAACTACAGCATAAGCTCACAAAATATTGTGGCCTAACTGTTTAAAACTAATTGTTCTGGGTGTTGATAGTGGCCAACCATTTTTTTTCTTTTTCAGAAAGTATTTTGTTTTGTCTGATTTTATGACACCTTATAGGCCATCAACTGCCCACATTGGGGTTTAGGAAATTAGAACTGCTTATGCTGCTTGTCTACTAGTCTTAGGATAAGTTAGAAATGTTATAAATGTACATTTTTTTTGTTGTTTTTATCTGGTACAGCTCATAGGAACTCCAATCTTCCCAACTGTGAGAGGGCCTTGCTCCAGTGACTGTCAGTGTGTACTTCATTGTTTCCATTAGTTCCTGTATCTGTAGACCTAGGTGACAGTGGGCTAGAGTAAAATTTTGGT